TGTAATTGTTTCTGTCATTGTATCTGTAACAGGTAGTTTCATTCTCAATGCAGTTGTTTCTTCATTAGGCACACCTTTTGTGTTTGTTCCTCCTATATTGTTTCTATTCTCAATTGTGCTCTTGTCTGAAATATCACGTGTTTCTGTTACCATCACAGAAGTAACCAAATTTATAATATCCTTAGGGCATTTTTCATAATATGAATTTTTAATATCTTCAAGCATGTTTTTAAAGTTACTGTTTTCTACATATTTACAATTTATTAAGAAATTCATATATTTTTCAAAATTCTCATTACATGAATTGCCATCATTAAGATTAAATTCTAAATTGTCCATAATTGTTTGTATTTTTTCTAAATGTTTTAAAATGTCTAATGTGTTACATCAGGATAATCAGCAAATTTTGGACATACCTGAATAAATGTTTCGAAATCTTTAGGCTTATTATCCGGAAAATCCTCATAATTTTTGTACAAATCCTCAATAACTTTAGTATCATCGAAATATTTTACTAGTTCGTTTCTTAGTTTGTAACAGAAGAATATACAGTTTGGTATTTTATCTATTAGATCATCTAATATTTGTATATAATATAAATAACGACCAATTTGCATACAAGGTGTAAGAAATCCATTAATGATGCCTCCATTTGTCTCTTTTATTTTACGAATAAATCCCCAACAAAAAGTGTGAACATAATAACCCAGCATCCCATGGCCATTTCTATTACTATAAATACTTTGAATTACTTTGTATCCATCTTCATAATTGGTAAATATATTCTTAAAATTACTCTAAAAATGAATACAATAATCATAAATAAATAAAAAAAATACATTTCTGTAAAAAAGCATTAGTACACTCTCTAGTGTAATAATCATTTAATACTAAGCATAATAAAGATTAATTTAGTAAAACATAAAAATACAAGCTCTGATTTACAGAATTATTATCGATCATTATATATTATATATATGAATTATAGGGAATCATTTTATTTGTATTAATTACAATCCTTTATATAAAATGATAATAGAATATGTATTATATTTATATATATATTAATTTTTTATTTATACATTTTACAAAAACATATAAAACACATATATATAACAAATTATTCGAGCAGATTAAATCATGTAAATGTTATATGTTTAAGATAAGGATAGTACTTTTTTAATGAAATCAATAGTTGACATAAGTAAAATCCAATATATATGTATGTATATATATATGAGCATATAATTTATTTATGTTATAATAGGCTACATCTTTAGAAGACACGTCAAATATATAAAAAATACATCGAACGATATATGAAACACATAATATTGTATTTTCCCGTACTCCGATACTCCATTATATGTAGCTAAATGAAATAAAAATATGCAATCAATGCATTAGACGTATAAAATGAAATGTCACAATAAAAAGGTAACATTTAATAAAAAATTCAAACTAAATAATTATATATTGTATAAAAAGGCCCCAAATTATAGTGTAATAAAAACAATTAAACTATTAAAAAATAATTTGCTTTTTGTTATGAACAGTGTCCTTTACTTCATTTGAAATATATATCATTATACCGTTAAATAACAATAAATTAATTACTTAAA